CCTACTGTTGTATACAGGTATATTCAGGCAGCAGTATGTGACAGTGTTCCTATTGATTGCTGGTGGGTGTATGGGGTCTGTTCTTTGTTTATACACTGTCTTAAAATTCACTGTTTATTCAACTGTATTATCTTATTAGTGATAGCAATAAAGTTGCTATGTAATATTTTGTGACTAGTTTTTAGTGAACAGTTCCTGTGTGTGTGTGTGGTGTAGATTCATATTATTATAAAACTGATGATGATAAAATAAGCTTAATATGCAAATTAAATCGTAATTATTTTCAGTATGTTTCTTATTCTTCCAACCTTTCATCTACAAGGACTTTAAGCTTTATATACTACTTCCAAGATTGTAGTAAATATTTGAACATAGTATGTCTGATTTTGTATATGTAGTTATATATTAATTCATTGTTGGGCTGATGAAATCTCATTATAAGTTGTTCTGAAGTTTTTCTTATATTGGTGTGTGTACTCCTCTTGCCATTATTAGTGTGTATCACTATTTGGGAACAACAGGGTTGAACAAAAGCTGTTTCAGAACTATATATTTTTGTGCATAAGATGCATTGTGCACCCCTAGCAGAAAATCAAAAGTCATATTTCACAGTAGAGGGTTTGTCATATTCTCTGAACTAAGACAAGAAACTTACTAAGTTTGCTTTTGTTCAAGTGCATTCATCAGGGCAGGAAGGCTAGGAGGAATTATAAATGAGTTATTGTACAATTTTGTTATCATTTTTGTTAATTTTCAGTTGTATAGAATTGCATTATTTGAATGCTCTGAGACAACCAGACATTTTCACACCATCACCATGTTTATAATTTGTATTGCCCAGAGGAATGGTTCATTAAAATTTGTGTATGTTTATGGTCTATCACATCAAATTCAACATTCGTAATTTTAGTGGTCTATTAGTGTATTAATGTCAAACTGAAATCTAGACAGGCTTGTAAACAACTATTACCACACAAAATTTCAGGACCCTTCATTAAGCGACACTTATATTGTGTTTATTCCTGTAAAATTCAGGAAGTAAGCTAAAAAAGGAAAGTTGTTGCAAATTTATATATTGCCAAGTGGATTTTGAATTGAAATTTTTGTAAACCAAGTAAGACTGGTGATTCTCCTACCTTGCCTTTGTCCCAGCGTTGAATGAACGTTTAATTAAATTGGTTTTCTGTGTACATTTCATATGAATAAGGGCGAATAGGTTATCTAAATGAAATACAACAATTTTCTTCATAGCAGCAACTTTATGATGTCACTTTACATATTTTATTTTCAGTTTTTATTTATTAGTTCACTTATTCATGTGCTTATAGCATGACTGTTGTAATGTGCATGTGTTGCTATTGCAAACTGACTGAATACATTGTGCACTTGTGGCCAGGTTGATGGATATGTGACATGAGTTTCAGTTTCTAGTGAACCCATAAGACAAAGGTATCTAAAATGAGTGTAGTTTGAATTTAAATTCTTCAGTGTTCATTGTTTCACAAAGTAATAAGTAGTAGAGTTATTCAGACACATTTCCACTAAACTTGCAAACAGCTTCTTTACCTCGGTATCTCATTAATCATTCATTGTAAGTTGGGACTTTTCCAAATCCAAAAAAATTTGTGTTTGTCTTTGTACTAAATTTTAAAGTAGCAAATGGATAGAGGTAGAGGAAGATGAAGAGTCTGTAATATGGAATTCATGGTTTACCACATTTTTCACCTTTCTGTTGGAATAAAATGTGAGAAAATTGTTAGTACTCTGTGCATATTGGCTACTCGTGTACACTGTAGGTGTCTGTAAACATTGGTGTATATATATTTATGTATAGTCTGATATCTACTTTATAATTGAAATTGTTTTCTTTTTGCACCACATGGACATTAAATATTTAAATATGGCTTACATATGTTGATTTTAAATCCAGTATAGCCATTACACTTCATTCCTTTGCTAATTAATTAAATAGATGGTGCTTAGTTTTTTCAGGGTAGAATTTTGGTTTTATATATTATCATTTCTTCTCAGTAGCATACAGACTCACATATTTAATGTTGTGTATTGACAGATATCTGAAGAGTGTGTTTCCCAAGGTGGATGAAACTTTACTGTTGGACATCCTCTCAAATTCTGATAACAATGTCCAGAAAGCAACAGAAAAGTTGATTGCTATGGGCTTTGAAAAGCGTGACACACCTCCTCCGAGACTTACCTTGCGGAAGAAGGAAGAAGAACAGCAGAAAGTGATGCAGGAAAACCAGTCAGCAATGCCATCTTCACCTCCTCGTATGAAGAGTCTTGAAGAGAAGCAGAAGAGTAAGTAAGAAAAGTATCTTGATATCTGTAAGATTTGAGGTTTTCACAGCGGTGAGTATGAATATTTCTGTTTTGTAGAGTAAAACTTTAAATGTATGTTCTTGAAGCACTGATTCAGACAGGCTAAGTTTTGACTTTGTTACTTGACATTTGGTATAGGCTTTTGTGTATTTTTATGGTTCCAGCAATGAAAAGTGAACATGAAATTTGGAACTTGGATGTCAAGAATCTCTACAGGTTAGGTTCTTTGAAAATAATAGGGGAAAAATTAGGATGATTTTAGATGTGTTACAGAATGCACAATGATACATCACCAGAATATGCACAGTGTGTATACCAAAATGAAATGCTTTGATGTGACACTAATTTAAAACTTTTTCAGTGTTTGGAGTAAGGGGAAAGTAGAAAATAATTAGAAGAGGATTTTCTGAAATTAAATTCAAATGAATAGAAGCTTAACTTACTAATTATGATAACCTTTAGTACTACAGTATATTTCAATGAATGCCTCCAGTTTGTTTTCCAGGATATGTTGAATGAAAGGTATGTATTGGAGGGGTGAAGGGAAGACTACTTGGGCAATTGGCATGCATAGTGGAGTATTAATATAATGTTGGGATGTATTAAAATGCACATTTTTTGGGCTGTTTTCCAGAGTAGAAAACAAGCTTAAGGGAAATATAGTGTGTTTCTGTTATTTAGTTATGATTTATTTAATAGCACTCATAATTTCTTAGACCATGTAGTGTTGAATGATGGTATAATTAAAGGTTGATTATATGGAAGGATGTGAAAGGAAGTGGTTGTAGCTTAATTTAAGAAACTATCCTGCCATTTACCTTGAGGGACTGAGGAAATACCTCAGGATAGCCAGTCTCTGGACAGAGATTTGAACCTGGAACCTCATGAATACAACGCAGGACTGCTAGCTAAATGTTCATGATGGTGGTATATATATCATGTTTTCTTTTCCTATAATATATATTGAATACAAGATTTAAATACAGTCTTTTCCGTTGTTATGTTTTGTGGGGTATAATGTGTTTGAAGCGTGCCTACATTGAAAATATAAAATAAGTGTCATCCATTTTGAATTGAATGCTGCTGAATGGAAGTTCCCAGTCATGATGAATCAGAATGCTTCCAATGAGAAGACTGTAGTCTGTTCTTAGAATTGCAGTGATTGAGACACATTTTGCCACTCCTCACAGTTCTTTTAAACAATTTCTTATACTTTTGTTAAGAGCTTCCTGGGTATATGAAGTATGGTGACACCTAAATTTGTAGAACGCATCATCTTCATGAAAATAAAATGTGCGTATCATGTTGGCAGTGAAAGCAAGATTACAAGAAAAATACCCTGACATTCCAGAGCGTGTGATCACAATAGCTTTAGACAGTGTTGATTTTGATGAAGAGCGAGCAAGCCAGATATTGAATATAATGGTACAAGAGGAGGAAAAGAATAAAGTAAAGGAGCCAGCATCAGTAAGAGAAAGGTACGCATGGAAATCTGTCTACTCAGTCTTAAAACATGTTTCACATTTTTATAGTTCCAAGATTCATGATGTAGTTCTTATTAGATCAGAACTTGGATTTGAACATTTTGGTATGACCTTTATTCCTTTTGATGATATTAAGACGTGTAATTATCATGTTGGCAGTGAAAACAACTTTACAGTACTAGTAGTAACAGTAACAGTAACATGAGGCTAAAAGGGCCAAGAATTACTGTTACACCTAAAACACAGATTTTTATAGTAAATTCTTTACAAGTGTCTTAACTTTCAGTCCTGCTCTAGTCCTACACCAGTTTCAGTCCATCAAAATGTGTGTTAGGGGATTTAGAACAAGTTGTGTCTTGACATATAGCTTGCTTAATCTGTAAAGCAAACTTGTTAAAAAGAACAAGATATTAAATTATGAACAAAACAATTACTAGTATTTCAAGTCTGTAAGTTTGTGATGATGGTGCATTGTTGAAGCATATTGTTTTCTGAACATTATCCATTGTCCAAGATTAAATAAAATCAATAAAACCTCGTTTCAGAGATGGGAGTCTATCTCTGTCATCAAGTTGGATGACTCTTGGATGATGGATATTGCCCAGAAAACAATGTGCTTCAATTACTGGTATTAATGAAGATATAATTTTGTCTCTGTGAGTCTTAAAGGAAATATGAGTTAATGATCTTTACTGTGTTATACTTTACTGTAAATGGTGTGAGTTTATCACTTAGAGATTTTGTAGAATCTTTAATTAATCAAGAAACTTGTGACACCTTATAGCCAGCCGGAAGAAGCTCGATCAACTCCACAACCAACTATAGAGCCAGATGCAGTTCAGGGGCCATCACCAGTGCATAGACCAACAACCAGAAAGGCACCTGATAAAATGGATAAAGGCCAACACCGGAGATCAAAAGGAAAAAAAGATATTCCCAAGTAAGAACCAGCAAGTACAAATTACATTAATATGTTGTATCATGACACTTCCAAGTGATGTAAAATAATAATGTTACAGTCTGTGTCACCTTAATAAATCATATACAGAACTTTTGATGCTGTGGAGTAAATTGTGTTACAGTAAACTACCAGGAGGATTGAAACTGTTATTTTATTATGTTTTATGCATTTATTTGTGTTGCTGTCTTTTGTTCCTTTCTTCCTTTTATGTTATTTAAAATTCAGATCAGAATGACTAGCTTAGCAACTGTTGGCTTCTCAAGAAGGATTCTGCTTCACATAGTTGAAGGTCAGTAAGTGTTCCAGATGCTGATTCACAGAAGTCAGCGGATGTGGTCTGCAGTCATTAAGGTTTGCCAAGTCTGATGTAAAGCCTTTTCTTTCACATTAAGGTAACTGAATTTGAGGGGCACTGGTAATAGTAATATGATTAAAAATTCATGCATTACTAATTTATTTTGTTGCAGAGTTTCTCGTGGTACAAGTACTACTGAAGACAAAGAGTACAAATCACCATATCTGATGAAGGTTTGTGGGCCAAACAGAGATTTGTACAAGGGACCAAATGATGAACTGTTACTGTAAGTAATGTTTAATTAAGAGGTCAGTGATGTGTTGCCTTGAATGTGCATGCCTCAACTGTGGATAAATGGTGACAGGATGAGTACCTTTTATAAGGGGAAAGAGAACAGGAAAATGATAAATTGAGGAACTCAGCAATAACAATTGCAGTTATGACAAACTCAGTTGGTGCCAGCTTGAAATGTCATGGAAAAACAACAGTATTAAGTCACATACCTAGTGACTTAGTGGAAAGAGTAAAGTAAATCTGTCCCACTATACGCCATGTAGGCGCTTGGGGGCAAGAAAGGAAGTATAACTGCTACTCATTCTTAACCTCGGCATTAGATGGGGGTGAGTGGTTAGTGTCACCCCCAGCCATGCTTTACCTCTGGGAAAGGACCCTGGTACCCATTAGACAGGAGACTGGGTGGGCCCCAGAGCTGGTTGGACAATTTAAATTGTAAAGAGAAACATGCACATACAACCAGCACCAACATGACACAGGAAATAAAAGAGTGAGAGTAAACCTTTTCTTGATAGCAATGTAAATAGTACATACAAAGCTAATTGAACTATGCTGATTCCAACAAAGACATAATCACATTGAATTCAGCTGGCCATGCATTACAGTAGCATGCTGCCAAACTGTTAAAACCACAGAAATGAAGTCTAGCTGTCAGGCTTGTAGTATGGAGGTTTAAATCCTCTGTTCATATATGGTAAAGCATAGTGTAAAATAGCCATATCTGTGACATTCAGCCAGAAGAATGAACTTCATTTCACAGGCTATAAAAAATTATTTTCTTTGAATTTCCAGTTTTTGAAAAAAATATGTAGGTGTCCAGTTTTATTATTGGATTTTTTAAAATAAAATTTCTATTTTTTTTCTCACCGAGTTTTGTGAATTAAACCCTAAAAAATTAATACCAGTACTTCATTTGAAGTATGGGTTTTGTTTTCATTTCAGATGTATTTTGTTTCTTGTTGGTTAGTCTGGCATTCTATCAAAGAATTATGCATATGACTGTTGGTATAAATTACTTGTTAGTTTCTGATCATGAGCAAACAAAACAAACTTTCCTCAGCAAGCTTATAGCCATATTTTTCCAAACCTGTGTATTGTCAATCCTATTACTGTTTAGAGTACAAAACAACTAATTTAATTCATGTTACACCTTCCATATTTACTGACTGTAATTACTGATGACTTCAAATTTCTTTGCTGGCATAACATCACATTGATTCCTCATCTCCTGAAGTAATATTAGTGTATCCTATATAGTTTGCTGTTTTCTGTGTAGCATATAACACATACATTAGTGAAAAATAGAAAAGTAAGTATTGTGCACAGTGCAGTGGTGTTTCTTAGAGAATCCCTAGTGGGCCAGAAGTTCCACCATCAAATTAAGTTTGATTACAGTTTTAGCAAGATCAAATGGGTGAAATCAAGGTTTGAAAAGTGTGCACACTGTTAAATTAAATTAAATCTGTGGCGTAACGGCTCCAGAGAGCCAAAGCCGACTAGCTTGACTGCTGGCCTCACATTCACATGCTTAAGCAGAGGTGAACGATCATCCAACCAGATACAGGGTGACGTGTGGTCAGCACGACGAACCTCCAGCCATTGCTAGTTTCCATGACCGGATTACGCTACTTATTGTAGCTTCCCAATTTCCTCACGATGCTGGGTTGGCACCGGTCCCATACACTGGTCGAAAGCTCATGAGAAAAGTTCTTCTCCCCCGAGACTCGAACCAGCGCGCATTCTGTATCGCCGGTCCGAAGCATTATGCCTCAGACCGCGCAGTTACGGCCTAGAAAATGGACATGTTGTCTTATTAATAATTGCATTTGTCTTCAACATTTTCTTATTTAGTCAGTATCAGTATCTAAAAATGTTTTTGGCATTCTTGTGTTTTACATTAAAATTGGATAAAAACCATACTTTCTTGAAACATTTTATGGGGATTAACAACACAAAATTTCAAATATCCATTCATCCAGGTCAGCATTATTACTTGACTGAAAGACAAATTCAAATTCTTATTCAGTGTTATGGAATGCCTAAACAGAATGAGTTCCATGCACCAGTAGTATATTTTTCATACCTGTCATTCAGAATACTTTTTTGTTCTTACATTTACAAATTTGAGCTCAGCTGTAGTTTTTTGTAATGTAATTCATTGTACATGGAAACAATATTCACACATAAGTTTAATTCAGTGGGTGAAGGTGAATTTAATAATAAGTGAAATTCAGTATGCTTGTGTCCATTTCATTTTAGAGTTGATTATATCACTTGGAATGGACCAAATGTTGATCTCCTGGGGAATGGAAGGAGAATATCATTAGCAAAGGGACCCAATAAGTCACTTCTTCAAGGGGAACGCTCATACATAGCAAAGGGTCCCAACAGTGACTTGAGGAAAGGGCCAATGAGAGGACTGGCAAAAGGAAGCATCTACTCCCAGCTAAGTACCAGTACTGCTGGTGAATCACGTGGTAAATAGCATTGTGTTTGATTGAGTCCATAGAAAGTAAGTAGTTATATCCTTAAATTTAATTAAGCATCTTTTTATACATAGGTTTCATGGTGAAAGTGATTATGTAAGTATGTTTCCCAGTACTGTATATGGTTCAATAAAAGTTCTTTCCTATCTCATAAAGTAAAAAAAAATTACATTGTGTGAAATGCATGTTTATATAAATTGTAGGAGTTCAGAATCAGAGTGGATTAGTCACTTTAAAACTTTCATTAGTACCAGTATGAATGGACAGACTGTGCACCCTGAAGATTAAAGAAATATGTTCCTTTGAAATGTTGGCATACAGCCAAAATAATATATATAAAGCAACACCCAAGAAGACCGTTGTAAGTGCCAGGAATCAATTTTGGTGACCTTTGTCCATGCTGCTGCTGCTGCTACAGCTGTTGTCACAATTGCAGATTTCAGGTTTAGAATAACAGACAATATGATGCTGGGCTCTGATACCTCAGTATGACTGCTTATTTTTGTATAATGTAGATTCTAGTTTTCTCATTATAATGATGGAATAAGAAAGTGTGAACTGAATAGCATACTTTTAAGAGCAGAATATTTTAAGATACATCAATGTATTCAGTAAAAATTATAACTCACTAGAATAAGCACACAGGGACATACATGTATGGAAGGTGAACACCATTCTTTGAACATAACTGAAGATGTAAAAATTATGGTTTTTCTATGATGGAAAACTGCAGAAAGAACATGCTGAAATGTAACTTTGAGAAAACGTTTTTTTATGTCTTTTGTGAAGTCCAGTCTGAATTGACAAACTTAATATATTAAGATGGCTGTCTTTGGGATGTTGCGCTGCATAGCCTGGTGGATACTGATCAATGTTTCAGAAGTGCTTATTCCCTTCATCCTGAGGGTGAAGGCACTAAGAACCTCTGAAATATCATTTGGTATCTACTACACTATATTGTACAGCATTATAGAAGACTGTCATCTTCATACTCATTGTTGTGAGAACCTGAAATCTCAACTTAGTACATGTCTCCAGCTTGTTGGCCTCTGCTCTTTTACTGAGGTGGAGGAATTACTGTAATTTGTTGTGAAATTAGTGTTTGTATATATATATATATTTTGGTGATACATTAAGTCTTATACCTCCTATTAATTAATTTCTTAAATCTTGTGTGATCTCCTTTGGCTTTGAAGCCTAGTTTCAAATGATAAGCTTCTTGTATGCATTGTGTTGTTCCATGATATTGTTTTCGTCCTTCAAACTGCTCCTGATTTAATCCTGTTTACTTCCGAACATAATGCTGTAGGCTACAGGAATTGCCAGTCTGCATGAGAGATATCTGCGCCCAAGATAAGTAGTTTTAAAATTCACATGTTTTTTGAGCAGTCTCTTTTGTTTGAAAAACACTGGTAATCCATGGTACTTTATTTTACAGATGTCCCACTAATTTGTATGATCAGTACTAAAATTATAAATAAACATGTAGAAACTTCAGATAAAATTTTTTCCTTATAAAATGAATGTAACAAAACCAATTGTTTTTGAAGATGAGCATCTTCTGCGATATTATGTCATATACTCCGATAGAAATTGACTGATGTTTAAGAAGTGCTTACTACCTCTATCATCAGGGTTATGAGACTACCAGACTATATGGTGTAATATTCCTGAAGATGGCTGCCTTCTGGGTTATGGCACCATGTAGTCAGGTAGAAGTTTACCATCATTTCAAAGGTCCTTGCTGCCTCCATTCTCAAGGTGATGATTGCCCTGACTACACGATGCCACAACCCAGAAGACAGCCATCTTCGGACTCACTGCCATGAAAACCTCAAATCTTACTCAGTTTTCTTCATGTCAGCCACTGGGAGAATGTGAAATCTCACACAGTTTCATTTTACATGGTGAATGAACCACTTCAATGGACATTTATTCTTAACAAAGACTGTCACAACAAATATAAAGTAACTACAAACTGTACATTTCTGTACAAAAAACACATGCAGTAGAACAACTATATTGTTTATGTTTAGCCTGCTAAGGGACTCTGCCCTGATGATGGAGGAAATATGTTCCCCTGGCAACACATTCCACTTGCACACAATGTCAGCACTCAAAAATAGGATCAGCACACAAAAAGAATCATGTGAAAGCTTAGTAGACACATCACAGATTGTTCTACCAGGAACATAATATGGAACTTTCTCACTTGACTGAAAACTAGATAACCACTATGAACTATGTTGTCAGTATTATTTTATATTGGTATATGATTTTATTCGTGATCTTCCTAAGATGTTTCAACTTTTCCAACCATATATATGAATGTTTGTCTCACACACAATTTCAAAATGTTCTAATTTTTCCAACTAAGTAAATATGAAAATCTATTACTCATTGTTAGTTAAATGAGGATTCCCTGCAGTTACAGTATATATATGACATGTGACTGCACATGAGGCTAAGTGACTTCCATAGACTGGCAAGATCACCAATTGGTGGCTTTGCAGGCTCTTGAAAATATCATATGTATGTTAATAATAAGGAAGTTTCAAAGTTCCTGTCATGTAGACAGGTCATCCTTGGGGGGAAATATCTCAATTATAGCATTTAAGTGTTCAGAATTTAGAGGATGGATGACTTACAGATGATATCATGTAAACAGAGTTCTTATAAAATGTAATGCTAGTTTGGGAATGCATTATAAATAAAACCTAGCATAAATGTATAAACTCCAGGGCCATAGTCTTCCATCAGATTATGATTATTCAGATACATATCAAACAAATACAAATTTTCTGTAATCATAACACAATGATTTATTCAATAAACAAATATAAAATTCTGCAATATCTTTCATACAGTAAACATGATGTTTGCAGAGTAGTGAAGTTCTTCCTATTCATTATTTAAACACAGATATGTTCTCATGTTGGTATTGCTTACCATTTTGCAGCCCTCAGCTGAGACATTTGTGAAACAGGTTAGACACATTGAGATAATTAGTATGAAATGATACACAATTTGCAAGTTCTTCAGAAAAATAAACACCTCATGAGTAACAAATTATCATAACTACAGTATTCAGTAAAGAATACATGAAGTGACATCCCATAAATGTTACTATGGGTTAATGTAGTGCACTTTATTAATCACAGTTCATCTTCATTAAGGAGCATGTTTGGAATTCCTTTGTTGATGGAGAATTTCCTTCCTGATTCTGGACAAACCAACTCTCCTTCGATGACTTCAACCTGGCACAAAGAGCAAAATAGGATTGACTTCCAGTCACTGGCATTCATATACTGATAAATTTAGTATTATTTCATGTGCATGTAACAGCTTATTGAATAAGGAGAAAAATCAACATTTCTACATCATTCCTTGCAGCTTTAGAAATTATGAGTATTCACAAAAGACACTAATACATGAATTTCACAAATGGCTAAAAGCAGTTTTAGAAACAAATTTACTATACTGATCTTCCCTTGCTTACTAAAGTTGTACAAAATAGTAATGTGTCCTTACCTCAACTAAAACATGGTGTACTTTCTTCAGGAATTCAACATCATTCTCATAATCATCACAAACAGCTCGTGGCAAATCACCAGCATGACCAATCTGAAAATCAGTAAAAAACAAAAGACATTCAATAACTGAACAAGGTTCAATCAAAGTAACAACCAATTGTGACAAACTGTCATTTTTATTTATTCTTACCATTACAATCAACTTTATATATTACCACACTAAGAATGGTTCATAATTAAAACAATGCAGTAGTACAGTGATGAGACTGTCATGCTAAATTGTAACTCACACTGTCAGCAGCATTCCAGAGGGTATCCCAGTCCAGCTTTGGAATTATTCTTGAGACAAATTCAGAGTTAAATTCGGTTTCTAACACTTTTACATCTTTAGCCTGAAAACAAAAATTATGCTTGAATTAACATGGGTTCTTTTGTAAAGTAAATACCCTTTTACTGTTAGATTAATTCCCCCACCCCCACAATATTCCATACTTTATTACAAAGTAGAATGACCTCAGCCTGTTCATACTGACAATATGAAACATTGATCTAACTGTGTAAGAAACCCATTTAATTTGGCAATCATATGATTCTTCCAGTTCAGGTGGTTATTTTGTAGACCACAGAATTTTGTATATATTTTTACTACATCCATTACTTCATACACATTGTGGTGAAATTTATTTTTTATTTAGTGTTCTGTCTGATGACAGGTCCATATGAACAGGATCCTTCCATCCTTTTCTCGGACTGGGACCTGTTCATATACGTTCTTGGCAGATGATCCAGAAGTAGTTTGCCATTGCCTTCTTCGGTGTGTGAATGGAGTAATGGTTGGGGACAGGTCCATATGAGCAGGATCCTTCCATCCTTTTCTCGGGCTGGGACCTGTTCATATACGTTCTTGGCAGATGATCCAGAAGTGGTTTGCCATTGCCTTCTTCTGTGTGTGAATGGAGTAATTGTTGGGATGCCACGGAGGAAAACTCCATGTTGCCTAGACCACGGCCTTGCCCAACACAAGTTATAAATTCGGGCACCGCCGGGAATCGAACCCGAGACCCCAGGATTACAAGGCTAGCGTTCTAACCGCTAGACCACCGTGGCTGTCTGTGGTGAAATGTCATATCAAAATTATTATTAATAATTATGACACCTAGTATCATCAGTTTTTATTGCTGTTGGATGGTCATTTATGTAAGATATTAAAAATAAAGGCCATAAAATTTACCTTTGGTGAACTCACGCATTGTTCCCCAATTACAGATTAAATATGGAGCTAAACTTGGTCCTTTCATTTGCACTCCAGCTCACAATGGAAACAATTATTATGATTATTACCATTACTAAGAATCCATCCAAACATGTCTTCTGAATAATCATTTTAAAGTTAAAAATCAAGTTTCCCTTCAAACTGTAGCATGAAACAGATTGTGAATAATGATTGAAATTATAAAGAATTAAAGTAATTTGCAGAAATTATTCTGGGAACCCTTAAAATAGATGTTAGTGGTATCAATGTAAACGAAAGTGAGGCTTCGAATTTAAAACGGCAAATAGTTAAAAATAGCCTAGTGCAATCACTAGTTAATTGATAATACTACATAGACGATGCGTACTAACACAGTATTCAAAAGGTCCCGGTTTCTTTCCCAAAACATCATCAATTTCACGGAAGTGAAACGAACTCCTGAAACTTCATGTATATTAAATATACCTAACGCAATACACAACATACAATAAATTTGACTCGCAGCAGCATATACGTGGTAAACTTCAATATAACACACTTCAACCGTACGACTTTGTTACTTACTGTACGCTATTTGCTTGACGTGAAATGCTTACAGATAAATACATATTTTTTAAAACAATTTGTTAAATTATAATTGAACATAATGTATACTAACCACTATTCCTAGTGGATATCCAACGTTAACGCCCTTCAAACATTTGGATGTAAGCATGTTGTGTGTTAAAAGTTTCATTTTTGCTGCACTTCAGCTCACACTAAACGTAAGCAACTATACAAATGGAAAGAAACAAACTTTTTCCGAATGTCAGTTCATTTGATGAACCAAGCAGCAAAGTAACAACCTGTTCCACACTAAGGTTATCTGACAACGTAACCTATTTTGCACTTTTACAAATAAAAGGGTGGTGGATGAAATGGCCTGGGAATGTAGCACTCACAGGAGTCATTGATGTGCATACTAAATGTTGGTTAGAAAACCCGATGGGACAAAACCAGCAAACGGAACTACCATCACCTACGCAAATGGGAAGATAATAATGAACTATATCGACTGAAAAAGGTTGTGTCCAGTGGCGCGCTCCAGTGAAGAAGGTCATGAATCTAGGTTATAATAAGAACTGCATAAAGAAATGAATAAAATGTATTTACATTCCATAGATGCTTCATAGGCCTAAGCCAAGGATATAGAATGTCATAATACAAATACAACACACTAGATTAAAGACATAGTTTTAACAGCTATCTACAGACAGGATGTATGTCCGCCAACACTAGTTTAGTGTTCATTGACAAAAAAATTACAACACGATCTACGTGAGCAGCTATGGCAAGCTACGTTTCTTTCTAATCGTACGTATCATACTGGCTAAATAGGTCTACGATGATAATCTGTGACAGTGAATAATACTATAGTCTGTGGTTCGAGGTATTGCGAGGTTTGTGTGGTGTATTGGGCTTGACAGTTTTGATGTTTGAGGATTCTTATGATTGAATTTAATTGATGTTGTTTTGCATATAAGCAAGTTGTGCAATAGGTAGACCTTGCCCAAGACTGTTCCAGATATTCTGGACCAGAATGGCACAAGGTACTTCTAGCGGTACGTCTTCACGTAGGCATGGACGAAATGAACACGATACTTCGTCAATCTCTTCCAGTAGATATGGTGATGCAGAGTGGGAGGCGAAGGAGGTAATTTGAATTTTCAGGTGGATACTGGCTTAGAGCAATGTCGTTAATAGGATAAGAAGGAGAATGCGTTTATGTAAATCGGCAATTACTTTATTTGAACGGTAAACTGCTATCAGTTCTGTACGAGTTTTATATCTTCCTTCCTCTCCCCTTCACTCGTTCATCACCGCCCGCATTACTTGTCATTTGTGTTCATATTGTAATTTTTTTGCAAAACCACAAAGCCATCAAATGATCTCTAACGTTTCTTAGTACAGTCTTCCTAACTTGGTTTTTATATTAATAGTATGTTATTCAGAAGCTGTCTCAGTAGTCCTTACACAGTTTTGGGAGATACTAGAAAACTGCAGACTGCATATAATTCCTGCTTAATGTGAACTTCAGATCAGTCTATCTGTCTAGCATAGAATATGGTGATATAACCAGTCAACTGCAAAGGTCATACGTTATGCCAGCATGGGGTAGGTCCTCTGGTAACTGTAGTGTAGAATTAGACAAAAATACATGTATGAATTGTAGATCTCATTATGAACTAGATTTTATTTGAAACACTTTTCAGTGTGTTGAATATTCTGTAACAGAAAGGAAAAACATTTTGCCTCTGTTTAGTGTTAATAACTTTGTAATGGTATATTTATTTTTGCATTAAATTGTAAGGAGAGAAATTATTGTCATTCATTCACTGCTGTCTACAGTATGGAAAGCAAGATTATGATAACAATAATTGAAATAAAATAAATAGTAAATGGAAGAATTAATAAACTAAGTTTAATTTAAAATATCATTAAAATTTAATATGTATTACTCATTCAAGATTGAAATATTATGCCATGTGATTTGTGTTTTGATTGCATTAACTGAGGCAGGTTCTCTTCACTGGCAAAGTCAAGACTTTCCTGATGGACGTGTTATTATAATAGTGTTTTGTTGTTATTAACATTAATTATATATTATGCAATAAATACGTATTATATATAAAGTGAATAAAAGGTAATTATTTTTAGCATACAATTTTTTGTTCAGCCCTTTTCATACTGGGGTCCTCATACACCCCAGTATGTAGAATAAAGAATTCAAGGAGCATATAATTATGTGTGCATTTGTTTATGTATTTGTGTGTGAGAGATTTTTCTGTGTGCTTTCAGTTTACTTATAAATCCCATCAATCAATGCTGTATCTATACAGTCTGAGTTGCTGGGTACATTGTTAAATAAACCATAAAGAGAAATTCACCACATAATAATTGTACAAATGTAACGCATATCAAAGAAAAAGAGTAACATAGGTTAAAGAAATATTGGGATTAACAGGTAGTGAAATTTAATTAAGTTAGCACTATCTACTATGTAATTCCTGAAATAAATGAAGCGAAATTGTCTGAAAAAAGTTGTCCCTATTTTGTAAAGTTATTTGAAGGTGGTTATGTATGTATATATGATAGGTAACAGCTGATACGGGTTATATGAGTTGTAATGAAGACATGGGACTCCTAATTTCACAATATGTTTTTCCATGAAACATTATGTAACCTTCCAGAGAATTACTTATAGTTTATGTTTTCCATAACACAAAAACCAGATATGATATGTATGTGTTATTTATGATATGAAATAATTTAATTCCCTCAGTGAAATAATACATAAATTTCTTAATAAGTTAATACGTATGCTTAATTCAGAATGCAGTTCTAACATGTTAAAATCAAGAAAAATAAGTGACATTTTTATTGTTTGTGGTATTTACTATTAAAAAATGTAAAATATTTTTTAGAAAGAGAAATTTGATATGTTGGCCTTTTATTAAATTGCAAATTGTTTCAGGCATTACGTCAGAGAGAGTTGGAAGAGGCTAGGGCTCGTGCAACACAAATGGAAAAAACTATGCGTTGGTGGTCTGACTGTACAGCCAATTGGAGAGAAAAGTGGAGCAAGGTAATGAATTGATTTATATTACACGTGGGAAGTGCACCACTTGGCATTACTTTTGCAGCGTGTTGTGGACTTTCACATTCTCTATACAATGTTCATACACTGAATACATGTTCGGGTTATTATGCCTGTCTTTCCATCTTTCTGCACATATGGACTCAAGAACTGCTAAATGGATTTTGATGAAATTTTGTAAGAACATTATGCCAGTGGAGGTTACACCAGCTTAATATTTTCATAACAACATGCTGCGCCCATGGAGTTGTAAGGTAAGAGCAACAGTAGCACCACTTAATGCAGGTACCTGGATTAATTGATAATAGATTTTAAAAAAATATATGCAGGATTAAAGATTTTTTAATGTGTGAAACATGGTGAGATTGGGGGTTTTATGGTGGTGATGTTGTTGGTCATGGTATCTTTGGTTGTGGCATCACATGGTCTTGTAGTTGGTTACCGTTGTTGTTGAAGAATATGTTACCTACGTCTTATATTTGGTAACTGCCTACAAGACAATATAGAAGAATTATGTTTGAAACATTGTTTGTCAGTCAATAATTACAAACATGGTAATGATGTAAAACTTTGAGTTGATATGCAAAAAGTTTAATGTAGACAGAATCTGATCATCTAGGAGTTAAAAAGATAATGGTTATAATATTTTACAACATATTAACAGTTGCAAGCATCAGTTTAAAATGTGACTTAATTGATGTTTGGTTGCATGACCATCTGCACAGAATCTCAACATGCTAACCCACTGGCTAAATTATTCTGATGTTGGATTATAAATGTAACATTATCTAAATATTGCGGAGATTGTAAGTGTCTGTATGTCTGTCTGCCTACAGTTTCATCTATATAACCAGTGGATGTATTCAGAAGGAATATGGTAACAAAGTCCCTTACAAAAATTCTTCGGTAATTACAGTTTTGTCATGGATTTACATTGTTTGAAAACTGTTAATGCATTATATTTTCCAAATTCTGAGACTTCCAAAAACTCATGTATGTACATCCATTGGTTAGAATTACATAAATGCATTTCCAAGAGATGAATCAGGAGATTTGTAAATATTTAAGTGTTTTTTCATGGTTTTGAAATGCACGTTTCAAGTGTTGAGACAGAATCAATACATAGTATGAGTAAACATATATGCAGTAAAAGTGATATTCTTGTACAAAACTCTGTTTTTGTAATAAATTGCAGGTTCGAAATGAGAGAAATAAAGCCCGTGAAGAATCCAAGATACTGCGTACCAAACTAGAATCAGCTGTTAAAGAAACAAATGCTATTAAGCGTGAAAAACTGGAGTTGGAAAACCAGAATGATCAGTTAAAGAAGGAAATGGAAAGGATTCACTTGCTGCTGTTGAAGCATGCAGGACAATGGGATCAGGAACTGCTGGATGCTTTGGAAAGTGAAGATCCAGAACATGATGTCTCTTTAAAAACTGGAGATGGGGGCAATGCAGTTGGTTCTTCCAGTTTGCAGAATGTAGCTGAACTAACTGTTGGCTCTGTTAGTGCTGATCTCTTTCATTTAAATGAATCGTTGCAATCTAGGCCAGAACGTGAACATGGTGATTCATTAGTGATAGACAAGGACTCGTGTATAGAGGAGTACATTCTGCAAGGGGCTGTCCCAAGGCATGCCGTAGAAATATATGTTACTGCAAAAGAAAATGCAGTGGACAGAGATATTGATGGATTGGACGATGTTAGTAGAGATGATCTTGGTTTGGCTGTTTGCGGTGAAGTAACACAAAATATAAATAAGAGTGAAGTAACCTTTGACTTTCAGTGTAAAACTAATGATGACACATTGACAATGTCCAGAGGATTTTCTCAACAGGCAGATAGTGATCTTCCCTCTCTTGACAAGGAACATCTTCTTCAGAAACTGTCAATGTTGCAGCTTCGATTGGATGAAGCGTCAAAAACCGTTCAAGCTGAAAGAGAGTAAGTGGACTATTTATAAAATTTCCTCCCACTTTTTACACACATTGTTTTGGGGCTATTTCAGTAAGATCCACGTTTACAGTGCTTCATTTCCTGCTGTGGGAAATTTGTAGTATAACTGGTTAGTATTTTAGAATTCAGTGCATATTTCTGCTTGTAACAATCATACTTGAAGACACAATGGGAACACTTCAGTATTTATCATTTCTTCCCTGATATTGTTGCTATTTACATGTTTAAAAATATCATAGCCTTTTTTGTGCGTGCACGCATGTGTGTGTGTGGGGGCGCGCGCGTGTGCTTGTGCATGCTCATGAGGTAAATATTTTTTTTGGGGGGGGGGGAATTATGCGACTCATCAAAGAAAGAGAATTTTTTTGTTCATTAATTTTATACATCTACACTCATTTTTTTAGGAAGTCATTTTGTTTTGCCCATTTTCTTTCAGAATGTTAAGGTAAAGGTAAAATTGTTTTGGTGTTTAAGCACCATACCATGAAGATGTATGGGGGAGTTAAGGTAAGGTTTCACTTGTTCTTAACCTCAGCACTGTATGGAGGTGAGTGGTCAGTTTCATGCTTTTCTACCACTATAGATAAGGCCCCCCACACCAAATACTTATTGAGTAGGAGGTGTAAGGGCCTCAGAGCCAGTCTGAACATGATAGCAAAATTTATATTAATTATTAAATGGTTGTACACTAGAATTTGTCTAATGAAATACAGTTTTTATTTTAATTTGTTCAGTTGCAGATATATAGCATGCTACTCAGACCACTGAAACCACTCTGTTTGCCTCTTCCATCAGTGAAAAACTCCTGTTGCACCGTGGTCTTGAGAAGATGCAAGGAGAGCTCCAGGAACTGAAGGATCGGTGCGAAGATCTCCGAGCTTCGAAACAGGAGGTTGTTCGGGAATTACTGCAGCTACAAGACCAGCATCAGGATCAAGTCCGTCTCATTCAGCTCGATCTGCAGGATGAGGCTACCTCTCGTGAGGGCATGGACCGACGACTGGCTGATCTGCGCACCGAGGTGGGCAACACTACTGCTGAGCATATCTCTGGTCCAATCACATTGGGTCAGCAGTGGGTGCGTCTGTTTCTCTGATGACTAGCAGCGTCCTGCTCCTGTATTCTGCACCATGCTTTAAGTACTGTTTTGGTTGATTGATTAACTTTATGTTAACATGAAGTTCAGTTTAATTTGAAAACTCAGAACAGTTTAGGCCCATTGTAATTTTTTCATTTTGATCTTATAATTTGTCTAAATTAATGCAGTACCTAAATTTCCTAATAAACTTATGCTAGACCTCCCAAACACCAAAGTAAGCTGGTGAATAACATATGTTAAAGAGACTTTGTATTTAAGAAGTGAAACATTGTAGGCAGAGTTAAATACATACAAGGTACATATTTTAATTTGGTTTCCAGAATAGCTGTTTTAATCACAGTGTGGTATTTGCGTTGCAGGTTCTAATATGTTGAAAACATATGTAGTCTTTTTGAACATGACATTTATAAGTAGTAGTGAAAAATTATTATTTTAATTCATAGAAATGACCATCTAACAATAATGTTCTGCACATGTTATGAATCCTGTGTACAATGCTTTTTGGATTTGTAAGTAGGCTTACTAATCTAATCCCACAAAGTGCAATCTTCCTTGAGAAGCTGATAGTTAAACAGTTTGTCAAGAATTTTTTTGCCCTTTATTGAACCAGAGGATTTATTACTATGTTAAGAAGAAATTATTAGCCATTTTAACCAAGTTCACTCTGCTACATCTTGTTCCTTTAAGAATAATTTTAATATTGGATTCCTATCTACAGCTAATGTAGGTCTTCCAGTTGACTGTTAGTAGATTTTCTGAATGAAGCTTTGTATGCATTGTTTGCTTTGCTTTACTTTGTATTCTGAAATTATTATATGTGATTATTTCATTTCTGTTTTACAAGCACAGAAAGATTTGATAGTTTTGTAACTATCTGGCTGAATCACATTTTTCTTTGCATCATTCTGTATATAACAGTTATTTTCTTTGCTGTTTTTTATAGTCATAATACATGATTTTTTGCCCTGAGGAAAGAACACAAAGGAAAGTATTTGAATACTAAGTTCTATGGAGAATCTTTAATATTCACTGCTTTACTTTAATGATGTTTCACTGTATTTCAAATTAAATTTTAATTGCATGCTTAAAACTCAAGTATCTACTCATCCATGTGCATGTAAAAGACCTAACTATTTGATTGATTTAGATCAGACTGTGTTTGATAGACAAACACTACATCTTGTTAATCCCTTTTTGTTTGTGTTTACTTTCATAATTTTAATAGTTGCTTTACTCCAGGGCCAAAATTAATGTTCACTTGTATTGTATAGCATTTATATTGTACTTATGTTAACGTAATTTATTTTGTAGGTCATGTAAGTGTCTGTGTTGTCTTTTACATGTCTTTTTTGGGTCCTTTGATAGATGTTGATTCTGATACATGAATACTACCACGTGAATTTTAGCACGTATATTGTATTTGTTTCAATTTATTTAAATATATTGACCATATATTTACATATATGGTTTTTCTTGTATATCTTTTTCAGTCTGGTTTTGATTTTGGTGATATATGATTATCATCTTGTGTGCATTTCATTTACATTTTGTTGTAAGGCCCATATTACTTAAGGACCTAAAACATTTCTGGATATGTCTCATTGAGCCTGAACCAGAGAAATGAGTGTCTTCAATAAAAGTTATAGGGAACTATAAGGTACATGTGGTATGTCATAATATTTGTATGATAACAATATGTATTAAGTGTGCAACCATTGTAAATGTTGTTTGGATTCCTGTTATCACTCTACCATATACCATAGTTTGAATTGAATTTAAAATACAATCCATATACCTACGCAGGAGACAGGTATCATGTGTAATAATTGAAACATAAATTTTAAATTCTATCTCATAGAGACATGTTTGAATTAGAAATCTAAATAAATCAACAACATAAATTAATATAGATGCAGTCAATGGGGTTGAAGTTGGGGGGCCAGAAGTTCAGGATGCCAGTCATCCAATCCATTGATCTAAAATATAAAGTGTTCATTATAAGGTGAACATGTCATGACAGTTGTCCTGGTACTACAAGTTCTGTCTGGTGACTAGAGGTTTATTCATCCCTTGTTACTGTTGGCAGTTTTGAGAATGGAACAGTAAGGTATTCAGGGATAAGAAATCTACCATATCAAAGAAGCCATGATTACAATGAGAGACCTTTTTAGCTGATGTGCTATCTTTCATGTAATGTGTGGATTTTTAAACTATCATTGTTTTTCTCTTTTTTTAAAAATTTAATTTTGGGTTTATGTGACTCTTGCAGTTGGTCAGATGAGATTGTGTTCATATTCTCTAATCCACTGTTGTCATAGTGTATATTTAAATAAGTAAGTCTAATGATGATAATAAATTTTGTGGTGTGAACACAGTTGGAGCGCTTGCAGGCAGAGAATGCTGCAGAGTGGGGTAAGCGGGAGAGACTAGAAACTGAAAAATTAGGACTAGAACGAGACAACAAAAAGTTACGTGCTGAGGTCCGAGACATGCAGGAAAGGCTGGAGAGGAAAGGTCGTCCATTATCAACAACTGATACTGATGTTCGGCAACTACAGCAAGATCTTGCTGACAGAAATAAAGTTAGTAAATCAGTGTGTTAGTTGGGCTCATAGTTTCCTGTAAACATAATTTGCTCTGTTGTAACTTCTGATTTCTTGAGAACTATTTTATTATTGTCATCTTCTATCCAGACTTTCAAAAAAGCAGTAAACTGCTAAAAATATTACAAAACATCACAGTTTGTTGCCACTCCTGCTTCTTAATTTGGAGGTCCCAGATTCACTCCTCAACATAGAGGCTGGCTATTGTGTCTCTGCTATAGTACTTTAACTAGGATGTGATGATTTCCTTCTAATTGTCTCCCTATTCATCATGTATAACCATCCTTCTATTCAGTAAACTTGGATAGCTCAATCAGAAAAGTGGCAATCTACAAGCAACATGACTGGATTTTGATATGTGGTGGGAGCCAGTAATTTTTATCTTTGCCACTATATTCAAACTGGCTCTGTGGCTTCCAGTCCATGGTGTACATTGGGCTCTTTGTCTTAGGCTAGTCACTGGACTGTGAAACTAACAACTTACCTCCATCTAGTGCTGAAGTTAATGGTGCATTGAGTTTTTTCTTTACCTACCATCCAGCTGTATGTTACCTAAGAAACTGAAAAGCATAATTAAATAACTAGAAGCAGAAAACATCTGAAGAAAAGTTGCTACATCTTGTTCATGATATATATTTTAATCAAAATGCTGACTTTAAATTTATTTCAATATAATTTGTATTTGGTGTAGGAATTGTCAGATTTGAGACATTCTCATGGGAAGTTGAAGAAGGTGCTTCAAGACAAATCTACAGAACTAGCACATGCTGTGCGCAGAGCAGAACAGTATGAAGCCGAAGTGAAGCGCCTACGTGGGAGAGTGGAAGAACTGAAACGAGAGTTAGCAGTTGCTGAGGACGAAGTGGATAGTGCCTCCAATAACATCAGGTTTACATTATTCTGTCTTCGTCAGGCATTTTGCTAACAGTAGCCAATTTCATACTTTATTATAAATGTAATTCTTTTGCTAGTTATTTGTTATATAAGTGTACATTCATCTTATTTGTCCTTCCTCTCTTTCTCTGTATCTCTGCATCTCTTTGCTTATTACTATATGATGGAAAAAGAAACAGTGTTATGTAAATTCATGAGTCATGTGATAAGGTAGTGATTTTCAAAATGTTTATTTTGTTTGAGTTTGCACGTTCTTTGGGAACTCATCTTCCCCTTGTTTCGACAATTAATATAGTTCTTCTCTGAATCTCTTTTGAAATTTTATTATATTACTGACTTCTTAAGATAGTGTAATTGCGTCATATTGTGAATATTATATCAATTATTTATTTTAATCCGTCTGATCACAATATATGTTCCGTATCGATCAATCGATACGGAACATGAATGATATTTTATTATCTTAATTATAAGAAATTTTAAATAAAATTATATTGTGATCAGACGGATTAAAATAAATAATTGATACTGACTTCTTATTTTGGAATATATGTAAGTATAAAAGGTGTTTACTGAATTTGAAGTTTTAGTTAACCGTATCTCTTATCAATATTTCCTCTATATGCCTTAACTTTTTAACTTTTCTGATTTCAAGGAAATTGCAGCGCACCAATGATGAGTTACAAGAACAAATTGAAAGTTTACAAGTTCAGGTGGAACATCTTCATACAAGGTAAGAGTTAGGAATGGCCTTTAATCTGTTGCCATACCTGACACAGTAGAATGTACTGAAATTAAATGCTTCGTGCCCTCCCTGTTGGATTTCACATACTGAAACGTAATGTATTTAAACTGAGTGTCCTGGTGTCATCACTGTATGTAAGGCACGGCATATGGTTAATGGATGGTTGTCACATTAGCTTGCTAAGAAATTAAGGCTGTCTTTGTGTACTATAAAGACTTGAACAGTTTTTAAACAGCAGATCCTTACTTTAACATTATTATTTTCAGAATGATAATTTCTTTAGATCCTGACTGCAATTTAGTATAGGCAAAAATAGTTTAATTAGTTGTTTTTAACCCCTGAAACCAGAACATATCTGCTTTCCTGTTCCAACATCTGATTGACATGGTTGTACATCCAGCAACCACTTTGGCAGTATTTGTTCATAATTTTACATCCTTTTGGATGTTATTCCAAGATTTTAACATGGTAGAGAGATAGACTTCTGCTGTAAGTTGGTGCTTCCAGCTGCCAGAAAACTTAGAAATTGTTTCAGTTATTTAATTGGAAAAGTTTGATCACCTTTCATTTTCTCAGTGCGGTCAACAAGGCATGGTCATGTTGTGGTTTGAGCTCTTCTGATTTCCTTTCATTATTACTAAAGACTGTGGCTGGTTTTGATGGACATTAAAACCTGTGGCGTGTTATAAAGAAACTTTGATTTAGTATAAATTTTGTGTGTGAACTTGCATTTGTCCCAAAGGCATATTGAAATACTGAAATGAACAATATTGAATTTCTCCAAAACAAGTGTTGCCATGGATTTGCATGTCTGGAGGTTTGCATTTTATACATAATATAATGAAAGTTTCTGCTATTGAATATTTTAAATCAGAATACTGAAATGCATTAAGGATTTTGTTGAGTACTAGTGTAAAAAGCGTGTTGAAATTAAACAGAGAATGATTTCTTTTATATCTTAATCCCTTACCTTTCTTCTTCCTTCCCTGCATACCTTTCATACCTTTTGTCTCCTGTCCTTTCTCCCACATTCCTTTTCAGTTTCTTTTACATCCCATCTCACACTTCTTTGCAACTGTATTCTTCCTTTTTATTTAACACATCACATCACATTGTCTGGATTTTTAAAATTTGCGTGTGCATGCATCGAATATCAGTGTCCATCACACAACTTCCTACATTGAAACTAGTCTACTTCATGTTGTGTTAAAAAGTCTTCTGAAACCAAAGAATCTCATTGGAAATTACTCATTTTTTTCTTGTACAGAACATTTTGTGGTGTGTTGCCTTTATTGAGAACTCTTTATATCAACTGTGTTACATGTTTGTTATCTCTGTGAGAGCATGCAGTCATTCACTGAGCATCAAAACAGGCTTCAAATTTGGTTTTATATAGTGTAGATGTTTGGAGTAGTTGTAAGGAAGTGACTGTATGAGATATTAAAAGAGAAACTTGTCTCTCATAACTGCAGTTAAGGTCTTCATTATTGTGTAGCATCTTGTTTTAAGTGTTGTGTGGCATTTTGGAACTCCACTATTTTAATAAATTTCTGCAAAAGATTTTAATGCTAACATTTGTCACTGACTAGTAGTGGAAAATAAGTTACATAGTTTCTGAAGCATCCTGTGTCTAATTTCCTATGTTTATCCGGAAAATATTCACTAACATAACAGGGACATGCTTCTTCCATCTTCAGGGCTAAGGATAGAAACTATGTATGTCTCTTCAAAATGGTATCTACCTAGAAGTACACATGGCATTACAACCCAGAAGGCTAACATCAAGATCTTCACTGATGTGGGATCTTAAAATCTCTTTGTGTTGAAAACAGATGTCTTTTTACCAAAATACCATATTTTAACCTTCATACCAGTAAAAAATAAATTGTTGTAAAGTTTGCAGTATCCCTAGTTTTTTTATGACTTTCTCCTCCACAAAATGCATAAAGTTAGTGCTAGATGGGGAGGTCATATATGTGATTAACTTTAACTGAAACTTGAAGCAAACTATTGAAAAATAACTGGCCAGTAGGCGTCAATTCAAAGCTCACATTACAATTTTACTGTTTACTCCAAAATACAAAATAATTTCATTCATATATATTGAATAGTTTCATAAATGGTGTGTATTTACAACCTCCCCATTTAAAAAGTAAAAAGTAAAGCTGTCCCACTATACGCCATGTAGGCGCTTGGGGGAGTGGCGGTATAGCTCCTACTCATTCTTGACCTCGGCACTAGATGGGGGTGAGTGGTCAGCATCACGCCCCGGTCCTATGCAGTAAATTAGTATATGGCAAAGTGTGTTTCTATTTAATATCTATAACTTCTATTTGAAGTATTTTTTGATGCAGTAAATATTTATAACTAAAAATAATTGCTGATTTGGCATTGTGATATCTGTAGTTTATAAATGATAGATTAATATTTGAAACAAGTTAACATCAGGTCCAATGAAGTATATAAAATGGCAAAGACTGCATATGTAAATTCTGTGCTCTAATTGTAATGTTCTCTTTTATTGTTTCACCACAAGGTGAGGTACATCAAATTTATGTTCAGTACATACTTTTACTCTCTGACTAATTTTGTACTAATCCTTAAATTCGTTGACAGCCAGCAGCTGTGTGTTGAGAACTCTGCTCCATCCTCTTGAAAGCAACGTCTTAATGTACTAACATTAAGCTTTAACATCTTAACTGGATTGAGGCTTTGTTTTGGGATATCATGTGAGTTTTTCTATTCTTGTGACTTCCTGCTCAGAAATATGGTTCAAGTTCTTCAGTTTTGTAATTTTAGATAAACAATTTGCATGGAAGTTTCTCTGAGAGTGACTAACTTATTTATGTTTGCTGTGTTGGACAGACTCTTGTAAAACGTACGCTCAACTTAAATATGTATTGCATGTGTTGTAATGCACTTGTCTGTATCCTTTATTTTCTTGTACAGTAAGTATATTAATTCTGTACTGTAAACAACTTTTGAAAACATATAATTAACAGAGTTGACTTATGAACTGTATGTTTTCTGCTTACTATCTAATACTTATCCTTAGTATAGGAAAGTGCTTTTGGCTTAATTGTGGACTGTTAAAAAGTTGATTAATTATTATTCAAATAATCTGTCATAGCAGTCTTTACCTTTTTTTTGGTACATTAGGAATTAGAGATTTGAAATTATTCAGATGCAGTTCATG